CTTACACCTCAGCTCCTTCTTCACCACGACGGACCGGTACATCGACCGCATTACTGCAGAAGCTGCACCGATCCTCCTGTCAATCTCCCGTTCCATCCTTCCCTCACTCATGAACAAGACCCCAAGATACTTGAACTCCTCCACTTGAGGCAGGAACTCTACACCAACCTAAAAGGAACAAGACATCCTTTTCTGACTGAGAACCATGGCCTCGGATTTGGAGGTGCAGATTCTCATCCCAGCTGCTTCACACTCAGCTGCAAACCGCCCCAGTGCACGCTGGAGGTCCTGGTTTGATGAGGCCAACAGGACAATGTCGTCTGCAAAAAGTAGAGACGAGATCCTGTGGTCCCCAAACCGGAATCCCTCCGGCCCCTGGCTGCACCTAGAAATTCTGTTCATAAAAATAATGACCAGAACCGGTGACAAAAGGCAGCACTGCCGGAGTCCAACATGCACTGGAAACAAGTCTTACTCTTACTGCCGGCGATGCAAACCAAGCTCCTACTCGTACAGGGACCGGACGGCCCTTAGCAAATAAATACCTACTGCAGACAGTCAAGGTCAAAGTGTTCGACCTGCATCAAGACAGCATGTTACTGCTTCCTCAGCCAGCCTTATTTTAGAGATATCTTCCAGGACACACACATATAGATTCATTTCCCTGCATTGAAATTGGCATCTCATGAATAAATCTATCAGTGATTTTACTGAGTACTGTCCTGTGCCTGGACCGTGTTTGTAGAAAATAACAATGTGGAGACTAGGTTTATATATTCAAATTACTCACCATTTCATGCACTAATGGGCCGATCTATCAACACTCACAGCACAGAGAAAGTTTTGAGCTATTTTCAAACCCAAAATCTGACTTTTGTTAAAGCAACTGCAAATGTTTCACCAAAAGGAGAGAAGTAACAAAGACATCAACTTAAATGGAACCAAAACCCAACGTGGTGAAGCTGGCTAATTTTCTAAGTAAATTATGCCTTGCACTGTTACAATGTCGCCGTGGCGTGCCCCACACCCCCCCCACAAAATACCTGAATGACTGCTGCCTATTTACTTGCATTATGTAACCTGCTCACTCTCATTCTGTTTGACCTTTCCGATACAGCACCAATGCTTGGCGTCCACAGGGACAGCTGACACACGCGTTGGCCTTGTCACCAGAACTGTAACAAGCCACACTTTGAGCTTTTCACTGAAAATCCCTTCAATGATACCACATCACTGCTATGGCTGACTGAAACCAGCCAGAGATGATAAGGCAATGTTTCACACTGGTATTTCAATATTTGATTCATATTTTCAATATTAATTAATAATATCTTTTTAAAAAAACAAAAACACAACTGCCATCATCACTACCCAGCAGTAAGAGCAACAAGAAACTGGAACTGGATAAGCTCAACACAATTAATCAATTCTCAGAATAGATATTTTTGTTGAGTGACTATTCAGTCCACTAATTGTTTCTTTTCTAGACATATAGAACAAGGTGCCACATCCTGGAGATCCTTCAAGGCTCCCTGGAAGGTCTTCAAGGACACAGACTCAGGGAAGAGAGTCTCAAGGACACACACACACACACACACACACACACACACACACACACACACACACACAGAGTGATGGAGATATTTACTTCATCAGATCTGACAACATTTGGCTCCTGGCACCTGAATAATCAACGAGTGTCCCAAGCACAGTCCCAGTGGAACTGAAAGGAGGGGAAATGTCAGCACCTGGGACGGCTCCCTGAGCTCCTGTTAAAACTTACAGGCCAGTTCGAGATGACCCAGATCTGCACAGAATCGATCGACACACAGTGAATGCCTGTTAGTTTTCTGTCCGACTCGCTCTGCCGTAACGCACACTTGGGCAGCAATATTCTCACGAGATCTAGACGGCTGCAGTTTTTGGCGTCAAATGCTGGAGTTGCTCTCCACCAACTGCAGGAGCTCAGGGCATGATGGGAAACACGTGGCTCTCATCTGGTCTGAAAGCTGATTGGTTTAGATTCTGGATCAACATCATGATGTTTTATTGAAACATAATTTCTTGTATAATTGTCGTGATTGTGATTTTTTTTTTTTTAAATAGTTGGCAGTTTCACTATAAAGGTTTATTATGTTAAAATAAATGTGTGGTGGATGATTTTATCAGGTAGAGAAGCTGAATACTGTCAGCATACAGTACATTACATATAGTTCCCATATACTACAGGCAATATGTGATGGAATGTGATGAAATGATTTAATTTATGAACCAACAATGTTGGAGAAACTACTTTGAAAACATAACATTGCAAACAATTACCTCATACTGGAAGAGTCTACATAGCTCAGGAACAAAAACTGCCAAATGGGAGCTGCTGTTTATATGGCCATGGAGGCTGAAACAAGCCGCCTAATGCTGGTGTCTGTCAGCCTCCCTGTCTCCTTCACCAACAGCTCAGTGCTGCATAGACCAAGACCTCCTCACAGGCCTCATGCTGTCTGATCTAGCTCAGCATGCTTCGTGAAAGAAGAGCCAACTAGGAAGGATTTCTTCCACCAAGACTTTAATAAAATCATTTTTGCTTTATACCCTGTCTAAGACTTTATTTTGAAGTTTGCCCTGGACTATAACTGCGGATACAGATTCATCTCTGCATGTTGTGGAGTGTCTAGATGCTACTGAATGTTATGACTGCTGCGGTCCACTGCTTGAGCCAGACTGGAGTTATATCGCTATAAAACCATTATAACTTTAAATACCCATTATACCGTACACAGTATACCATCAAAAGGCAGCACATGAAATGCCAGCTGTACAGCACCCTAGGTGAAAAGAGTGGGGAGAAGTTACTTCTCAGTTATCTCAAACATAAAACTCCCTACAAATGCTTCCACGCCGTGCTGTTGCTAAAGTCAACAATTTTAATTTCTGGCTGGCCTGAGGTCACAAAAAATGTTCACAAAACTGAAAGAAAATACAGTTCTCATGCAGCTCCTGGGCTGCTGAAGAACCAGAAATTACAATATACACAATGCCATTGCCACATTTTGACAGTTTTCCACTCCTGTTTTTGTCTTTGACCTCTCCAGATTCTTCATATTTCTCTAAAACACCTTAAATACCACATTGTGAGTATGCAGTTTGCAGATTTTTGTTTTAATACTCTACATATTTCCTATATTTTCTAGTTGCATTCAGATAAATAAATATATATCTATCAAAGGTTATTATCGGGCTTTCAAGTAGAGATTGTGGTAAGCTTATAAAATGTCACATCCTAAGTTTTTGCAGCTCAAGTACTTTAGCATTACTTTATTTTACAAGCAACTCATTTTGTTCTTTCAGGATAAAAATGGCAACCTTGCCTGCTCCATAGTAATTCAATTTGTATTCATTTGCTAATGAATAAAACAATCAATAATGCAGAAATGTACAGACTGTTCTGAGAGGGCACAAAAGAAATCAAGAGCAGTGCATTGCTGAACAGACCTACAGTGTGGCAATGCATCAACCATGTGCGCTGATGAATAAATGACAGTAAATGAAGATGTGAACATCGACCATTATTATACATTTGGCTCATTACTTTCAGAATGGTGATGATGTGGCTGAGTGTTACTGAAGCCACACTAGATTAACACTAATTGGCATCTGGATGCAAAAGCTCAAACAAAATCTACAGAGTCAGTCTACAGGTGAGAAACAGAAGAGCTTGGCTTCTGACTGGATCACAGAACAGAGGCTCGAATGAGCAGCCAGACTTGACAGGAAGTGTGTTTATTTTCCCCACATACTGTCTGAAATCTTTACAGTCAATGGGATGATGTGAATTTGTAAGAATTAAGAACCAACTCTACATCTTCCAAGTTATATTTACACATGCTCTACTGGTTTAAAGACTGCACTGAGCACATTTAAGAAAGACTTGAGAGACAGTGGTTTTCTTCATAAGACCCTACAGGAAACAACTTCTCCTGAGAAGACGGAACATTAACAAACAAACAAACAAAAAAAAAAAAACACCAGCTGGCTGATTCCACAACACCAGCCATGCCACAGCTCGGCCACTGGTGGACGCTTTTTAATGGCCCTGGACAAATGCAGTAAATTGGCTCAAATATTGTGAAGCAAACAAAGTGTTGAATGTGCAGAATGTGGAGGCTGTGTAAGATGCACCTGGGGAAGGCAAATGGTGAAAGAGCTGTTTCTAATGATAGAGGAAAAACTCTCAAGACAAGTAAGACCATTTCTAATGGTATCTGATGAAAACCCTGTATTGTGTCACACAAATAACCTCCTGAAGTTGCAAACAGCTTCAGCACAGACTGCCACTGCTATTGTACCGCTGACATGTACCTGCTGGCAAAGCTGTTTAGATAATATATTTATGGATTCACAGTACAGCAGCTACATTAAAAGAAATATATACTGTTATTTTCAGAATGAGTTAGGCCACACTGTTGTACAGTAAGTCACTTATTTATATAAAAATAACATCTTTACTGTATATCCAAAGATTTTTTTAAAACACATGCAAATATCTGTATATGTCTGGATTAGAGACCAGTGCTTTGCAGTCAGTGCAGTTGTGAGCAGAGTCCTTTTTTTGTCCCAGATGTTTCTATTATTTCTTGGTGGATTTATGGAAACTTGTCCTGGACATTTTAAAAAAATCCTAGAAAGAGAAATTGGTGCCGATCCCAGTAGCATCAATTCACTACTCAACCAGCACAGAGTACATATTAATGAAGTAATTAATAGGCTCAGTGTTGGCTTGGTGTCACGAGGACCCACTAACCACAAGCTATTTCCTATTCAACAAACAGCATGAACCAATGAAACGGGAATGAGAAATTCATATGCAGCAAACATCTCAGTGCATATTAAAACCAGACCCTGACAAAGTGTCTGGCTATTACTGTGCGCTGTGTAGCCAATTTTCCAGGTGGCAGCTTAATGTTGCATCAATGGATTAATATTTTGGAGGTGTGGGGAAGTATAGTTTGTTTGCTGCCTGTGGGGCTGCCACTGCTGACTCTGGGAGACTGTTATTGATCCTGTTTGTGTTCTACAGGTCACAGTGATTTCTCTCAGACAGCCTCCAAAACAAAGGGTCCATAAATACAGCCATGGCTACAGGACAGGTGTGAAGTCAGAGAGAGAAGCCAGGAGACCACAAATACTCTTGGTGAGACAAACTACTGTACAAAAAGAATAAGGCATCATGGTGCTTTGTGTGCTCAGATGAGAAGAAAGTTGCTGGTTTTGCAGCACTGCACTGGCTTTCAAAGTATTATTGACTATTAAACTGATTGAGCTGACTCAGATCAGCATCATTCCTTCGAGTTGGCCTTCTGGTTTAACCTGCCAGTGGAATGTTAAGCAACTGGAAATGTTTTCTGGAAAATGAGGCTCCATACGAGTTTGGGATTCTGCAGTGTGTACAGGGTTGTTGCCATCTCACCGAGAAAAATAATGCACATAGCTGACTAAAAGATCAAGGCAAAGATCTTTCCAGCATCCTTCATGATCCGCAGCATCTTTGTTACTGTTCAAGACATTCTCATTCCCAGGGCATCCAATACTGATGTTTTGTCAAATACAATTTACACCTCATACTGTCTCTCTCAGACGTGGCAACACTTGTAGTGAGCCATGTGACTTTAATGCAAAAATAAAAGACCCTAAAAGAAAACAGACCCTGATGACGGCTTTATGTTGAAACATGTTTGCATTAAAGTTGCTCGGAACACTGCAAGTGTTGCCAGACTTTTTGCTTTCCAATTTGTCTTTCCTGTGTTTGTGCACCTTGACAGTGGGTGAAGTTGTGTCAGTAAGTTCTGCTGTATCCATCTGATACAGACACCAAGGTTGCCTTTGGAGTCTGTATGAGACACTATAGGTACTTGACATACTGTCTGTATTTGACGCTCTAGGAATGAGGATGGGCTCTGCTTTTCTACTGCAGCGCTTTAACGGTTGGTAACTATTCCTTTAGTTCTGGTCCTACTTTACATTCGTCCTTTAAACTGCCATGAAGCAAAACTAAATATAAAGCTGTAATGAGATTATGGTCATTTGTATGCAGCACCATATTCCAAGTGCATGAACTTTAGTTTGACTGTCGTCTTTTTCACAGTAGAGCTCACCTCTACAGTGTTACTTCTTGGAAATAAATTAACTAATTTGGTAAAAAGACTACAGACTAAGCTGCTGAAAACACACAGAACATAAATAAAACATGCTTCTTCTCCAGGGAAGACACCATGTTAGACTATGACAACAACAGTTAATGAAATCCTACTAAATGCATCATACCGAAACAAATCTTCTCTTTTTCAGATTACAGTAACAACACAGCAGATGTCATCTGCTTATCTTCATTTGTAGTATAATGTTCCAGTGATCATGAGAGCAGCAGCAGCAGCAGCAGCAGGTAAATCACTTTCGATGGACATTAAGATTAACACAGGACAGCAGCCAGACGGTTTACTGACGAGCCTTACCATCAAGCTCCTCCACAGAGATACTGGCCAGCACATCACTGTCACTGTCTGACAGTGAGCGGCTCAGGTAGTTCCCTTTATAGAGCAGGCCTGCCGTCACATGGTGGAACGGCATCTTCTCCCTGAGAAACAACAGAAACAAACATTTAACAGCAGTGAGGTACAGAGAGAACCTGAAGAGGAGATTTCTCTTGGTCTTTTCAAAAGATGAATTCTGATCACAAAAAAAGTTCCACACATTACACAGCTTTCTAAAAAGGCTTATCAGCAGGGGGAACTCCAATGTGTGATGTTTCATGGTCACAGCAAAATCATTGCAAATGAAACCCATCATCAGGCATTCAGATTAGCCTCGTCAAAAATAAAGCTATAAGAAAATATGTGAAGTGCACAAATTTCCCCCAATTTAAAATTCAGTCAAGCAAAAACACAACATGTGAACCATAATCCACTACAGGGAGCTGGTCTGCCAATTTGTGATACTGGTGGAGCTAAAAGAAACCAATCTACAAGTGGGAACAGAGAAGAGTGTAAAGGAGAGCCATAAAAACGCAGAACTAATTCACTAAATGGAAGTCACACAGTGAGTGAGACTTGTATAGCTAAAAGTAAATGTAGTAAAAGTGTATGTACAGCAAGTGCTGGTGCACAAGAGCATGCACGCATGTGCTGCATGCGCTCACACACCAGCATATTCAAAATGGGCTGAGGTATTGCAACAAGAGAACAATGCAGAGGCATCAGCTGAAGTTTCCACAATGTGAAAAACTGACGATTACAACAGCTTGATGGCGCAAACATACAACATTTAAAAATGAGGACATTCTAGATGTGCAATGGTTCTGCTCTTTGGGTTTTAAACAGTATCTACATTAATAACCTTTGCTTTTATGGGTGGTATCCTCAGCATGACCCATGCATGCTGCTGTACCATATTTGCAAATCTCTTGAGGTGGATAAAACTAATTCTTCAGCTTGTTTTGTTGCTAGTTTCTCTTACCCATCTCTTATTAAATGACTATACAGCAATACTACAGACTGTCCTGCTAAATAATCACAGCTACTCTGCTGCACATAGCTTATGTGTCCTCCAATAAAACCTTTAGCCAGCATTTAAACTCATCCTGCAGTATGGAAGTAAGTTACTTTACTGCTCTAGAACATACTGTTTTTGAAATAAAAGCAACAGAGACAATACAATACTAAAAGATGCAATTATTTAAATAAGGCAATTAAACACATACCTTATAACAAATTTTATTTTGGCAAAACTAATAGTTTCAAATAGATTTCTAAACAAGTCTGTCATGTTGGACTTTATATTCGAGTTAATAAAATCAAGTTGGATATGAAAAAATATTTCACTGTTTAAACTCAGCCAACAACAAGGACCATTTTTTAAGAGTTATAAACAAGAAATTATCTTGAAACATCCACCCACTAACTAGTAATATAGCTATCCTTTTTGCAAACCTTTAACTCCATTTTGAAGCCTGTTTTAACCACACTGAGCTCCAGTCATTGCTAATGTTTTACTGGCTGGAGCTGCCAGCCATCCCTTACCTCACAAACTCAAAACTGGCCCCTGCCTTTTTTGGGTTGCCAGTTTAATAAGCACATCAAGGCATCAGCAACAATGCCTAAACCTTTCTTCAAGTGTAAGGCCAGGATTTTTCATTTCCTAATTCATCAATTATTCAGTCAAATCTCAGTTGTAGTTATGAATATTACATTCATCCCTCTTTTCTGCTTTTACTACATTATTGCCACGAGCCAACCCATAAATTGCCAGCTATTTGACACAGCCCATTACTACCCTGGGATTGCCAATGTGAAGAAATATTTATTATATTGATTTACCTTGCAGGAATGGAATTTACATGCATTATGCTACAGTGAATTATTCAGGAACAGACTGTGCAATGCTGAATAAAAGGATTGATTTATTTTGAAAAAGTTTTGAAAGCAAAAAATTGGTGGAATAAATTAAATGCAATGATGCTATGCAGCTCATATGGTTTTACCTTTTCCTCACACCTCTGACTGCATTTTAAATGATCTGTTTATCTGGCTACACGCTTGCACTGAGAGCACCAAGCAGATGGTTTTACCTTTTCCTCACACCTCTGTTTATCTGGCTACAAGCTTGCACTGACAGCACCAAGCACACAGCTGCTGCCTTTCAACAACAATGACCAGGATTTTGTTGATGTCATTGAGCACTACACTTAGATAAGTTTGAAATGTACTGTAGAAAACAAAGTCTGGAGGCTGAAGGTAGAGAAGAGAAAAAGTATTTTCAGCATATTTCAGAGAGAAATATGAAGACTCTGTTCAGTTACATTTTCCAGATGGCTGTAGATACCAGCTACTTTACAAACTGAGGCTTATAAAATGGGAACAGTTGGAGAATTTAGAATAGTGCTGAAGGAATATATTGATGAGCCAGTTGCCTGAAAATTATTGAACAGGTTTGTTAATCATTTAAGTTGCTGAGTAGACAATCTCATCACAAGGTCCATTTAGAAGCTGCTTTGTTCTAAACAGACCTCATAGTGACACTGTTTTCCCAAGTGGTGCTTGGTCTAGAATAAACTTTGAAACCTAATCAGTTATCAACTAAATTTGTTGATCTCAGCTTCTCAAATGTGGGGATCTTGTGCCTTTCTCTGCTGAAGTTGGAGATTCAATTTTGGTAAAGGATTAAAGCTCCCTTAAAGACCAGAGCATTATCTACCAAAAACACCTTCTGCATCACTGAACACCAGTTACATGCACTGACAGATCTGCTCCTCTCAAATAACTCTAAAAGAGAAACTGCACCAAGAAGTACACTGTAAATTTCACACCAAAGACAGTACATTGTGTCTAAGATTACAAAGATTGCCTAGCACATTAACAGGAGATAAGATTTTACCGCAGTACTTTACTGTAATATCTCATGAGGATATACAGTAAGTTTATTAATGTAGAAGATGAAGAGCAAGATAAAGTGCTGAAACAGTAAAACACCCGATCTGCAGTGTCTAGGAAAGACTGTGAAGAACAGGACTGTTCACATCCTTCACCATCATTACACTTGATTAAACTGATCAAGGTCTCAGCTGAACAAGCTAATTTCCCCTTCAGGAGCAGAGCAACACACAACAGTAATCACTTCAATCAGGAAGTGATCACCTCCACCTCACCCGAGACCACTCTATTTACTTCTCTTTGTTCCTCTCATCAAGTCACTGTTGCTTCCATACTGTGATAGGCTTATATCAGTTCGACAGAAAAAGAGGCAACAATTCTGGTATTAAATACTTAAAGTACATTGACTGGCTGATAAACAGCCACAGAAATTAACTGCTTTGATGAATTCTAAATCCCCAGCTGTGGGGATACACACACACACTTTTTATATTTTGGGCAGCAACTAATGGCTAATTTCGCAATCAATTAACTGATGATTGAAGATTAAATGTTTAAACTCATCTTTCCAAATTAAACTGTCTGAACAACAATCAACGCCCAATTTACTGCAACATGATAAAAATGGAGAAAAGCAGTTATCCAAAGTGACTTTCAGAGAGTGAGTTGGGAGTCAAAGTCAGTGTGTGGCTCAAAGATACGTTAAACTGACAGGATATGTGGCTGTTGATGGCTACACTAGCTATGCTTGGACTTGTGGCTTTTAATGACAGGACAAACTGTCACTCTGTTGTTACCTGTGCTCTGAACTCCATGCATGATTGATCCACAAGTCTGTGAATTTCTTAGGTCAGAATTCTGTAATCTGATTTCAGCAATATCTACTATACAGTACACTGTACCTGTCATACAGAAAATAGCTCACTGCTTTTACTATTAGTGCACAAGCATGTACTAGGTATAAGCAAATTGATATTGGATTATGTGTAAAATTATGTGTGTTGTCATATCAACTGTTTTTACATGCTTGAAAGAATAAATTAAATCAAATCAAACCATTATACAGTTGTCCTTTTCAGTGCTGTAAGGCTGGATCACAGAAGAACTGAACCTAATTACAGCAAAGACATAAATAAAACCACCTCCAGTAAAAGTTGTGTGCATGCTTTCCCTGTAAGGCGCCTCAAGGATAAGACAAAAGGTGACATGACTAATCAAAACACTGGGATGAAAGGGATGATGAACTCATTCCTCTCTGCATGATCGGTGTCCATCAACTGGAAATCATAAGTTAGTGTCACACCTTAACTTTTGGGCAATAGAAGAACCAGAAATAGTGAATAATGCACATAAAGTAAGTCATTAAATGCACATTAAATGCACTGAGCATCCAAAATGACATCTTTAAACATATCCTCATATAACTTTATTAAGAAAAAACATTATTTGATCATCTTCATTGCACTCCTAAACTGAGCATCCAAAATGACATCTTTAAACATATCCTCATATAACTTTATTAAGAAAAAACATTATTTGATCATCTTCATTGCACCCCTAAAGTTCTTTATGCACTGCTAATCAGTTCAACTTAGGAACACGTGCTCCTGGGGGAAAAAGCAAGCGTCATGCTATGGATATAGGCTATTGAACCGGGGGGGTTGACAAATGACCTAATGACCTCTTGCAATCTCAAGTTCTCAGAAGCTGCCAGACCTCATGCAGAAAACAGAGAGCAGACTCAGAAACAAGTGCACGCATGATTAGAACTGTGTGATCAAACCTGCCCATGTGCTCTCAAATTCTGACTTGCAAACTGAGTAGCACTCAAAATTTGGCTTTTGTGCTCTCAAATGTATTTGCTGTGATATACTTCCATGCTAACCTCCCCATTTCTATAAGAAATGACTAATCAACACACGGCCACATGAAACACCAAAGTGGACCTCACTTTTTAACTCGAGGAGACTGCAACCTGATGAAAAGAGCACAGCTTGATTCAAAGCTTTGTGCGTAACAAGGAGGCCAGATGGCAATTTCTCATCAGACTCTGCAGCACAGCAGTCAAAGAGCTGATACTGAGGGGGACACAAGGAGAACGCTGTGCACCAGCACCATGTACACAGTATCACAGATTGAGCTGTGGTCACATGAGCAGAATACTTAAAAAGTGTCCAGTACAACAGCAAGTTTAGAGGGTAGTTTAATCCCTTTTACCATTTTCCATCATTGCTACAGAACAACATAAACAAATCTCAACTCCTCAAGGCTTCGGTTATGCTACTTGACCTGAGTGCTGCCTTTGATACTGTGGACCACCAGCTTCTTTTATATAGATAAAGGGAGTTAAGGGACTTGTAGGTTTAATTGGTTTAACCCATCCAGGGTTTTCCCTTGGTTTTCAGAGGATGCAGTCTAAGTCAAGGGTGTTGTGGTGGCTGGGGAGTTTGAAATTATTTGAAGGAGATTGAGTTGTTTTTGGTTTTTTTGACTATTATGTTTACAATATTTGTGGATGAAAACTGGCAACACTTATTTTACTGTATATATATAGTCAAAAGGCTATTCTTTTTCAGTGCATAGCATTCTCCCAGTTGTTTTTAAGTGTACATTCATACTGATATTATGCCGAAAGACCATTTTGTGTTTATTTGGCTTACTGTAAGGTGCTCTGAAAAAACACTTAGCCTAAGCTAAACACTTAGCCTAAGCACCTAAGCCTTTCTATGCTAGGGAAAACCCCGTCATCTAAGCAAGAAAAATTCTCTGCATCAACAGATGACCACTCCTCAAAGTGTTATGAGGTTACCTAGTGGGTGCCCCCGGAAACCTTATAGGACTTCTACTTTTTAATTTATATATGTTACCCCTGGGCAGTGTCATCAGAAAGCACAGCATCTCCTTCTACTATGCTGATGATACTTAGCTTTATGTGGCTGTGTCTCCTGATGACACCAGGCAAACTGATTCACTTTTTAACTGTATTCTAGACATATGTCAATGCCTGGATGTCACAGAATCTTCTGCAGTAAAACCAGGATAAAACAGAACTTCTGATCACCAGTTGAATGGCTTAAAGAAGGAAACTGGCCTCTCATTTAAATACACTCCCCCCAAGTGAAGGAGCAAGAAACCTTGGAGTGAACATGACTTTAATTTAAATGCACTAGTGCAGGGTGTCATCCATCTATCCATTCATTATCTACACCACTTATTCCTGAATAGGATCACAAGGGGGCTGGAGACAATCCCAGCTGAGAATGGGCAAGAAGCAGTGCCAGTCTATCACAGGGCTGACATGTAGACAAACAACCAAACACACAAAAGGAAATGTTAAAATTCATCAATTTAAAAACAAGACTGTTCCATCTAGCCATGACTTAAGATGGATTAATTACCAACTTCCTTTGATCACCTAACCAAATCTCTTCCTAAGGTGTGTAAAATGACAAGTTCTATAACATGTACAACACAAATTTGTGTCTTGAAATCTATTGTTTTAATGTAAACAAGGGAAAATATTACTATAAACTGAGAACTTTCTGCAGGGGCAGTTAATTTTGAAATTACTTTCCTGTGCTTGAAAATGCAGCCAACTGGGTACAAAGGTAATTCAACCACAGAAAAGCAAGAATGAAATGGTTTCCAAACTGAGAAAAGAAACAGGAACATCCCACATAAGTGCCACCTCTCTGAACACATTACCAGCTGCTTCCTGCAGCAACAGATTCTGTCTTTCCCATGCCGAGTCTTACCCATAGTGATGGCTGTGAGTGTACTCAGCAGGATACTGCAGCACAACAGGCTCCCTCCTTGGACTCTCCATCACATCCCACAGCCCATCCCTCAGGTACGGGTTGCCTGGCAAGTCTCCGTTTACCTCCGACTGTGTCCCTGGGGGTGGTATGCTAGTGAGCTCCACCGTCTGAGGATCGGGCTCTGAGACCTCCTCCTCCATCTGACTCTTAGATGCAGTGGTGGCTCGAGCAGCGGACTTCCTGCCCACAAACCACTGAGTCCGACTGCCTCCACAGCTTGGACTTGTCCCAGAGTAGCAGCATCGGTTCCCCAAAACCCGTTGTTTAATATTTGAGCAGTGAGAGCAGCAGGTATGACAGCTCCTCTCACGCTCCACTCCTTGACTTCTCATTCACTCCCTCCCTCCCGCTGACTGCCTCCTTCTCCCTTTTCACTCACTATCTAGTGCAAACATTCCTCCACATGGGGAGACAGAGTGGGGGGCTCATTAATGAGTCCCAGTGACAGAGTCAGCCCTGCCTGCCTGCGGCTGTGCTCACAACATACACAGGGGAGAGGCAGAGGCTAAAGGGAGGGAGGCTGACGGAGGCAAAAAGAAAGAGACCAAAGCAGAGACTCGGACAGATGAAAGAAAGAGAGACAGGCTGCAGGCAGACTGACAAATAAGCAAGAAGATACCAACAGAAGATGAAAAATAGAAACAGAGAGAGAGAGTAAGAACCAAGATTGACAGATAAGGTTAAAGAATAAGAAAGACTGAGTTTGAGGATGTGTGTTGGAAGCACAGAAATATGCACACAGCCTTTATCGGTGGTTGAAAGTAACAAAGTACATTGACTTAAATTACAGTAAATTAACAATAAGGATCAATGAAGTGCTATGTTGTGTTATTATACTGATTCTGAAATGTAAAGAGTAACTACATTTTATCTAATAAATCTAGTGCAGTAAAAAGTACAATAGTTGAAATGTAGTGTTGTATGTACAGTAGCAGCAGAAAATGGAAATACTCATATTAGATTCAATATGTGATCATCGGAACAGCTGAGAATTAAAAGTAGCTCCAGCTAAACAAGCTGCAACACTTTATAGTGAGGTACACAATAATCCATAAGGACCTACTGCCAAGTTTGTACATTTACTTAAGTAACATTTTGAACGGTGGACTTTAACTTGTAAAACTGTTCTTTTACACTGTGAGAATGATGCTTATATGTAAGTAAAAGGATTCTAACACTTCCACAGCTGCCCTTTCTATCCCAGTGGATTACACTTTGATACACAGAACAGACCCATCTCCTGGAGAAGACGCCGCCGTGTGGAGAAGGAGCGCGAGTTTGGACGCTGCGCAATGCGTGGATGGCGATGATGATGGGGAAGGGGGGGGGGCTGCTGCTATTAACTGCTCCAGTACATCCCATCGCCCCTCAACAAGCGCACACGCACACAGTACATGAATGCCACAGCCACCCTTCACCATTATTATAATTAAAAGCCATTCTGCTCAAATCTTATGCTGTCTTCTTAACGTTGGTGTAAAATAGATATACAAGCGTTTTGTTTCTGAAAACAGTAGGCCTTCGTCGATTAGAAAACACGGCTTATCTTAATCAAATAACAACAATCAATAATTAAAATGAACTTCATGAAACAAGGAGCCGATGATTTTGTTACTGCAGTCTTTGACGAATCCCATTACACAGAAAGGAATTGCCAAACACTGATCTGACTTATTTTCAAGCCTATTTCTAACCTACTTTCCACAGCATTCACCATGTGCTGGGACATAAACTGCAGCAGATGTGAACACTGACAGAGAGTGGACATCCTCAGGTGCTGACAGAGCCACACAACAGGTGTGGGCCTGCAGGGAGCACTTGTAATGCGGGCAGAAAAAAAATAACACACACGATGAGGTTGTAATAATAAGAACCAGCCCATTCATCTCCCACTTAAGCAATTCACCCAACTTACCGTTGAAGGTGTTGAGTGTCTGATCAGGCAATTCTGTTAATCGATGCCCTCCAGTTTAGAGACTTGAGGTGGACTTCTCAATCAGCCTCGATCAATGCGGGTTGCTTGTTGTATTTTTAACGAGTTATTCCTTTAGTTGGGGGGTGAACTGGAGCCTAGGCATTTCTTTCCATCTTGAGAAGAAATCACACCGGTTGGTCTGCGGGTTGCACTTTTCGCCAAACTCATCAATGTTTACATTTCCTCTGTCGCTCCACGTCGTATCCAGTTATGTTCAAGGACAGTGAAATCTAATCAGGAACACCGCACAGGTCCGTCGCCTCAAGTAAAAATCCATGGACTGAACATCCACACGCACAGGTGAACGCGTCGGAAGATTAATGAAAGCAGCCCGGTGGCCAAAGAAGCGGGTCCAACCCAAATCGGTGCGCAATCGACCACGACGGCAGCGATTGGCTGCTTCACTCTCGGTTGCCTTCATCAGTTTATTGTGTCATTTTTAAATGGACAAACCTACTTTAGCCTTTTAGAAATATTCAAACAATAGGCTATATTCGGTGACTGCCTCCAGCTCTTCCTCAGCTGAAAGTGAGTCGGAATGCCTTATTGAATAATCTTTAAAGTTGTCCCTGGAATAGGCAATAACTTTCAGTGGCGACAACAATCAATATATTTTGTTTTTACAATTTTTGCTTCTCGCCATAATTGATCTAAATCCATTCTGAGAGGTTTTAAATTTCTTTGCTCTTCATTATCAGGCAGATTACAATTTTATTGTAAAAGTGAAATCGTCCAGTTTCCGGTATTCGTTAAACTAATAAGCACCTTTTCCAGTGTCACCACTTAGTATTTAGATTGTTTTCAGCCTGGTATAAGTTCTCTAGTAACCTGAAATAAACAATACGTATCCCATAAATTCGTGAAAATCATACTGTATCTTACTTATTATGATTATTAGTTTTTTTATTTGTGTTTTTGCCACACATTCATTTAGCAGAGAAGAGTGAAGCTTAGATTGTTTTCAGCCTGGTATAAGTTTTCTAGTAACAAAGACAATAAATGTGCATAAAGTAAAAGTTCTGGTTTTGCCTGATAGTGGAGATAAAGCTTTAAAATTTGTCTTGTTCATGTAAGGCATGCCCCCATCACATTACTGAACACTGGTTGATGTCTACAGAGCCTGAAACAAGACCAATGAGTTGGACCAGCCATCAATTCTGTGACAAAGAAGTAAATAAATCAGAAAGGCTTGTTGTGACACTGTGGAGTTAAGTGATTCTCTTAAGATAAAATGTCTGTTTTGGAACTGGTGGCACTGCTATAAGTTATGATTGAAATAGAGCTGAGTAAAGATGTGACACTCCTTCTTGCAAAATGAAAAGTTGCTCTTGTGCTTTTTAGAAACTGAAGAATACAGAAAAAATATAACTGATTTGTACATGTGGAATTATGACTAAAAGAAGCATTTATGCATCAAAGGGGTTAAATAACTGTGGTTTTAGCTCTTGGACAGTTCTTTAGTAAGTGTGGATATGTATATTTGGGAAGAGGGCAAACTCAGGACACACAGAATCAACAACTCCCAAGTCTGAGAGCACCTGGTGGCCACACATGATGGAGAAACTGAAGGACATTGCTGTTGCTTGGTTTGTCCTCATTCCACTGGCCCCATGACCCAAATAAAAAGCAAATGGATGGATAGGTGGTTCTGCTTTTGCCAACAGGTGCATCACACAATTACCCTAAATTGTTATTTATTGAGCATGCTCCAGAAAGGTGTTAGACTTTGAGGAAAGTACCTGCTAGAGTGATTATCTAAACATCTTGCTCTTTCACATAAATTAGACATTGTTTCAATAGTTAATGAAATATTTTGCATTGTCCAACCTTAACACATAAGCATGTTCACATGTTCTTCAGTTCCAGAAGCAAAACTCCTATTTCACAGGGAGTGATGCCCCCAGGTGTCGTCGTTGGAGTTATTTGCAGGTAAATGATATCTATGATGTCACTGTTAAAACTGGCAGAAATTCAGCTGAAAAGTAATTGTGAAAGACTTTTGCTTCAATGTAAGGACCAGCTTTATTGAACCACAACCACTGAAATACTGTTTAAACAATAGTTAGAGAAATGCCCCTTCAGCTCTGGCTGGGTGTTTGGACCAGTGGTATAAGTAAGCAATGAAAAGCCTGTGAAAGAGACTTGCTGTTAAATGCCTGGTAGAAGCCAGTGGTTGATTTCTCCTGAAGGCTACATGGCTGATGACAGAGCACTTTCTGCACACCCACTCTCTTTCTTTATTCCTATTCCTGTCAGCGTAATCAATTGAATGTCTGTCTAACAGGGTATTGTATGTTTAACAGCAGTAATCTAGATTCAGGGTAATGTACCCACTAGGAATGCCAGAGGACAAAAAAGGCCCTGCCATAAATGCCACCCACATTTTTACTGTCATGGTTACAACAATTACTTCTCATATTTTAAGGCATTTAGACAGCAACTTAGTCAGTGGGTAGGAGTCAGACATCTCAGGTATGGATACAGCTGTGACCTTTTGCTTTTTGTATAATCTCAGACGGACTGGATGTACTGCGTATTCAGTACCGCAAGTTCTCTTCAGTAAACACCAAATACCTTTTATTGAGACAACAGAAAGCTCGCTGCTGCGCAACATAAAGGCTCACTGGAAATGTCTGGGGTTATGTTTATCTCGGGTTCAAACCAAGAATGTCTCAACCATGACTATGAAGCTCCTGGCCAAAAAGGAAGGTTTCCAGTTTATGGACAGTAACATCCCACATCCATCCATCTATCTGTCTTTTGATGCTTGAATATTATAATATGCCTGTGTGTTGTGAACCAATGATCTGCAACATGTTATCTGTTATATTAAACTGTTATATGTTACTATAACTGTTACATGTTTACAGTATCGCTAAACACTCTGATTCAACTTATTGTAGGTACCAATCACCCAGACCTATATTTACACGCAGATTGATTTGGTCATGTAACGCTCATGCTATTATTAGTTTTGGTAAGAATGACCAGCAATTTTGTAGTCTGGTTTCTTTTCAACAGACCACAATATGCAGTGTAAATGCACCATGGTAACAACATTAGAGAGAGCTGCTGTTTATCTTTGACCAGTGGCTGTTCAGTGGTTATACTTCATTCACTTAGTGGAGCCTAAAGGACAGAAGCTACATCTGCTTCTGCGGATCAAATCAGGAATACCTTCATTTTCCAATTTATTTACTTTGTGTACTTCAGTGCCTGTAAAGATACAGTAGCTGTTACTGCACAACCACGTGTCCCACAAGAGTACAATGAAATATACATGACCACAGTCGGTTAAGGAGACAGTACTGTAGAGAACCCCTGCCTGAAGTAAACAAGTGAACTCGGTAAATCTTTACTCAAGCAATTTAGAAAGAACTTTGAAATAAATGTTGTACAGTTTTGGTTTATTATGTGCC